GGATAATTCTGCAATTTTTCTGTGTGCATGTGTGGGTATTTGTTTGGTTGTTTCTGTGCATTTGTTTTGGGTTTTTTTGTTTTGTTTTGTTGGTATTTTTAAGGCAAAAAAAATTATCCTGGATCCAGCCGGGATAGAATTCACTTTTGCAGCAGCCAGGAGGGCACACTAGGACCCTGGGGTTATTCTATACCACCTCACTTTATGCAGAGGGATCAGAACTGTTTGTTCTACCAGTTCAGTGTGTGCATTGAGGCAGTGCTGGGTTCTACATGGTGAGCGATTGCGTGTTAGTATTTTGCCTGTCTTGTACACTCTGTTAGTAGTACAGTTGTTACTGTTTGTTTTCTTACTCCATTGCTGTTTCTTAGTAAATTGTTCTTACCTCAACCTGTGATCTTTATCTTTTGTGCCTCCAATTCCCTCCATCCGGCCACAGGGTGAGGGGGCGGAAGGGTGAGTGAGTAGCGTGGGGTCTGGGGGGTTTTAGTGGGAACGCTAAGTTAGGGAATACCAGTCCTAAACCATGACAAGCATAAAAGCAGTGGGTTTAATTTATCAGGACTTAAATATTAAAGAGGGCTGACTCTAAGATAAGTAAGAAGCTGGTTGAAGGGAGAACACTGATTTTTCAGCAGTGAACTTACTCCAGAATTTTTCTTTTATATTCAAGGCTGGAGTTCCTCAGAGATTAATTTATGGGCAGTTTTTCTGTCAAGGGCATGAATATATGAAAGAAAGTATCAAAAGAAATTACCTGTGGAGATGAGAAGAGCTTGCTTATTATTGTCAATATGGGCTGGAGAGGATTAGGATTGTTGTCTAAATATAAAGCAAGTAAACATCATTTGAACTGTAGTTTAATTTTGGCACAGGTCCAAATTGATCCGGATTGCCCTACTGTTTGAGATGGAGCTTGATAAGCTTATTTGAAAGATTTAATTAGCATAGTGTTTGCAACAATAGTAGGTTGAATATGGTGTCCCAGTGTGGGGAATTGCATCCAGCTTTTTGTTACAAAATGAGATAATAAGTTTTGTATGTCTTGTTTAGGGTCAACCTAATGCACAACTTGGTATCTAAGAATTGTTTTGCCAAATGCTGACCTTTCTTCTTCTGTTTTCTGAATTGCTCTTTTTTTTTTTCCTCCTCAAGGGCTTGGATTATTTTAGATCAATACAGAAAGAAGTCAAAGCTTTTCCGCACTAAAGTTCTGTTGGCTCCGCTAGGGGATGATTTCCGCTATGCTGAGAGCTCAGAATGGGATCAGCAGTTCCAGAATTATCAAAAACTGTTTGATTATATGAATTCTCGTCCTGAGTGGCATGTTAAGGTAAATACAATGCGTTTTCTGATTTGTGGAGAAAACAGTCTTTCCCAGTATTCTGAGATTCTTCATGGAAGAGAGTTGTGGTTGGATTTGTTTTTTTTTTTTCAACTGTAAAGCTTTATATATTACTTAACAGCTGATTGATTTGTCTTGGTAGGTTATATTTTTTAACTTCTTTCTTCTCCCCCAAAACCAAAATCTTTGCTCCTAATATTATCTGCTTGAAAACTATAAATATTTCGCAGACTAGATTATATTAGAGAACACTATTAGGTTGAATTGTTTTCTTAGTACTCTTCTTTTCACAGGCTTCAGGCATTGTTATTTAAGACTCACAGGCTTTGTTACTTAAAATGATTGTATTTTATTACTATTATTGTAATAGTTTTTATTTGGGTCCTCTTGGTTTTATGTCCCAAAACAAACAAAAAAACCTAAGAGGTGCCAGTGCTGGCACATGTAGCTGAATACAATAAAATCTAAGAGACTGACCTGGCTATGAAAGGGCTGAATATACTAACACAATTATCAGACAAGATAGCACTTTAAATCATTAATTATGTATGAGTGTTTATACACACATTCATGTTCTAATACGCAAACTGATTGCTCTAAAGACTTCTTGTACTCTGCACTCGGGCAGCTTCTGATGGTCTTTCAGCATGGCAATAAGAAATAGAGGGAACTAAACCCTTGGGTGTTTTTTTGAGTATCATGTGAGAGTGCACTATTGCTGCTTTCATATTTAGGATTTTTAAACCTTGTCTCATATCTTTCATATGGTTTGTGCATGCATTTGTTTTCCCTCACCATTTCTGAGACCTCACCTGATTCTTTTAACTGCATACTTGAGTAGTGCCTGAAGGATCTTAGTTCTTTCTGCTGATTTTTGGACTTGTGTTCTGCATAAGAAAACTGATTTCTTGGCATTATAGCTTATCTGAAAGCTGGCTTTTCCATATTTCCTATGAGATGTAGGTGATATGATGTATGTGAACGACTACCATATCTTAGTGGAGGGAACTAGGCCTGGAGAGTACTCTTCAAGATTTTAAATCTAGAGTCCGTCTTTTAAAACTAAAGCTTGCTGCATCTGCTAGCTTTACTCCTGTCAAAAATGGGTATACTGTACAAGTAGTTACTCTTTGGATACTAACAGCAACATACTTTCTGTAGTTTCTACTAACTGGGGCTAGATGATTTCATCCCCAGGATAAAACCAGAAGGTTCGAGCTCTGAAGTCATTCTTCAAGGGCCACTCCTGTTCTGAGACGCCTGAAAGTCCTTATCTGAAAGGTTCTACTCGGCTCATTGTCAAGAACTCTAAGAGACAACTGCATTAGCTTGGTGTACCCATCTGGATTAATGTCTTGGGAATCACATTAGCCCTTGGGGCCCTCATACCCTTTTTCTGGTTCTTAATACCCAGACAAAAAGATGAAATTCTCTGTATCAGGCGCTTTATACCTAGGGTGCTTTGATCAGTTGGAGCACTGTTGGCATTGGAGCATTTCTCCTTTTCATTTTATTCATGTAGTTAGGTTTTGTTCTTTCTCTTTATTCTTTGGGTTTAGTTGTCTTTTTTGGTTTGTTTGGGGTTTTTTTTTGTTTTATTTGTTGTCTGTTGGGTTTTTTTGTGACGTTTTGTTTTGTTTTAAACTGATGTCATTTATCCTTGAAAATGGAGAACTTTCATGCTCTTCTGCACTTTCCCTGGAATGTAACTCCACAGGCAAGTAACAGATCATGCACAGCTTCCTAAGAACCTAGATTATATAAAGGAAGAGTTCACATTTCTTCCTTAAGTGCTGAGATGCCTAGGGTATTACTACTTACACGAGAGACTACCTACTCTGCCTCTCTGATCTTACGAGAGATTTACTCTTTCAGACAAAGTGTTTATCTAATGGGTATGTCTGTTAGCATTGAGATTGCCAGCAACTACTCTATGGTTCTAAAAGTATGTGGTACATTACTGTAAAAGACACGTATTTTGCTCTTGGGGAGTTCAGTCTCCTATTTGGAGATCTCCTTTACATCTATCATACATAAACTAGGCTGAGACTTTTTGTATGCCAATAGAAGAGCCTACCAGGTTATTTCACAGTTTACATTCACCTGACTTTGATGCTGCTTCCAGCGAGGTTTTATTCCTCTGATGCAGCCCAGCATACAGAATTGAAATCAGCTGCGTCTGATTTCTCTTGGTCCATTGTTTGTTATTTTTATCATATGAACTGTGCTTCTGATTATGGTAACAAGAGAACAGACCAAGTGGTTTTTTTGTACCCCTCAAGCTTGAGGGGTACAAAAAAAGTCTTTTGACCAACCCTGTTACTATCTGTTACTGTCTTTTATGAGCATTTTAAAAAATGACCAGAAGATAATGAATTTTCTTTGTCCTCCTACATGTTGCATCTCTAAAAGCAATTTCTTTTCACATAGTTAAAAAAGAAGCTTCTGAAAGCAAGTGCTGGTTTTTTTGTTCAACATTCATCTTGGTCTAAGCAAGATTTGGAGCACAATAGAGTTGATTTTGAAAACACAGGATTAGGACAACTATGCTGTTGTTGCATTACATTAAGTTTCTTACTTAGTCCAGGCAGCTACTTAGATAGTATTGAGGTATTGTTTGGCTTGTGTGTTAGAGATTTGCTCATAAGACATGAAAGAATGCTTCACTTATTTCTTGACATTTAGCTGGTATTTTAGATACCTATTTATAATTTTTTAAAAATAACATTCATATTTCATGAATCATAGAATGGTTTTGGTTGGAGGGAACCTTTAAAGGTCATCTAGTCCAATTTCCCTGCCATGAGTAGGGACATCTTCATGTAGACCAGGCTGCTCAGAGTCCTGTTCAATTTGACCTTGAATGTTTCCAGGGATGGGGCATCCACAGCCTATCTGGGCACCTGGACTGTTTCACTGCCCTCATACTAAAAAATGTCTTCTTTGTATCTACTCTGAATCTACCCTCTTTTAGTGTAAAATCTTTATGGCTTGTCCAAGCACAATAGGCCCTAATAAAAAGCCTGTCCCCATCTTTCTTATAAGCCCCTTTTATGTACTGAAAGGCCACAGTTAGGTCTCCCCAGAGCATTCTCCAGGCTGAACAACCCCAACTCTCAGCTCTTCCTCATCAGGGACGTGTTCCTCTGATCATTTTTGTGATTCTCCTCTGGACCTGCTCTATCAGGTCCATCTCTTTCTTGTACTGAGTTGAAATGCTTCTGGAAGAGCTATCCAGCTTGTCTGAAAAGTGTGCAGAGGAACTTTAAAGAACAGGATTTCTGCTGTAATTCTGTGGAGTGGCATGTTTCTAGAATGTATATGAAAGCAAGCCTCTTTGTATTTCTAAATAAAGAAATGGAGTTTTGTTACAGTAATTTTAATTTTCATTCAGGCCCAGTTTGGAACTTTATCGGATTACTTTGAAGCTCTGCATAAGGAAACCAGTTTGCGTGAGAAGAACAGCAATTCATTTTTTCCTGTTTTAAGTGGAGACTTCTTCACCTATGCAGACAGAGATCATCATTACTGGAGTGGATACTTTACATCACGACCCTTCTATAAACACCTAGATAGAGTCCTGGAATCCTACATACGGTAAGTACTGCCATTTGGTAAATTCATAACATATTTCTTGACACACAGGAGTGATGAATTAATATATACTTGATGTGGTTTAACCCCAACCAGCAAGTAAGCCCCACTCAGCCACTCACTCACCCCCCAGTGGTAAGATCAGGGAGAGAATTGGAAGGGTAAAAGCTGGAAAACTCCTGGGTTGAGATAAAGACAGTTTAATACAGAAAACAAAAGCCACACACACAAGCTAAACGAATCAACAAAGTAATTAAATGCTTCCCATGGGCAGGAGGTGTTCAGCCATCCCCAGGAGAGCAGGGCCCCATCATGTGTAGTGGTTACTTGGGAAGACAAATGCCATGACTCCAAACGTCTCCCCATTCCTCCTTCTTCTTCCCACTTTATATACTGAGCATGATGTCATATGGTATGGAATATCCCTGTGGTCAGTTTGGGTCACCTGTCCTGGCTGTGTCTCCTCCCAAGCTCTCGTGCATTCCCCATTTCCTTCCCAGCCTGGCAGTATGGAAAGCAGAGAAGGCCTTGGTTCTGTGTAAGCTCTGCTCAGCAATAACAGAAGCATCTCTGCATTATCAACTCTGTGTCAGCACAAATCCAAAAGACAGCCCCATACTGGCCATTGTGGAGAAAATTAATTCTACCCTAGCCTAAACCAGTACAGTACTCTAAATCTGTTGGACAGATGGAACAGTGGTTTTGAAATGCACAGTTTAAGTTTACTTACAATATGGATAGCCTAAATGGCCCCCAAATGTAGATCTTGTTACAAGGATTAGTTGGTGTATCTGTTTTATTAGTAAATTCACAGAAATGCAATGATATTTTTTCCATCCAAACAAATAAGATGTTCTAAATTACTATTCAAGTGATCAGCAACCCCTGATTCCATGAAAAGTATCAGGTAGTATGCTTTTTGTTTCTGTGTTGGATTTGGGTAGCTGTCCAATCAATCTATGACTATACCATGAGCTGTTTTAGAGAAGAATACAAAGGTGTGAATTTTACAGGGATTGTTAAAGGAAGTTGAGAAATTCCTAAGAATGTTCTGTGGCAAGTGATCTCAGATTATAAGATACTAGTCTTCTGTAAAGTGTTTGCATCTTGAAAAAGAAATAAATTGCTGAATTTTGGTAATGGAGTAATTAAGTGGTTCTCCCATGTGGCAGTTATAGATAAGACATTGCAAAATGATTTAGCTGTATTGTAAGACTCCAGAAAGAAATCTGGGGCAGATGCACGTGTTGCAAACTGTGGACATTTCATCTATTGCCTTCCTTAAGGATTACAATATTTTTGCTGTAATGTCTGCTGAAGTAGTGGAAGGAGGGAGAGAGGTGTGGAAAGCAGCGTTTTGCGAGCATGGAAAGTAGTGTTTTGTAAGCGGATACGAGTACCTTTCAGTAGAGAAGCCATATCTAGCAGAACTTGTTTTCTTTCTTTCAGAGTTTTTAGTGGATGATTCATCATAAAAGTATTTGATTTTTCAGTGAAAACAGCCTTTTTAAATACTTTGATTGGAAAAGACAAGATGTATGGAGAATAGGACAGGCCTTATAAATATAATTATATACTTGTTCTTTCCTAATTTTGACTGAATTCCTTCTTATTTGTTAAAATGCACCAAGGTTTTAATTTTCTTTTCGCTTTATCATAGCCTATTTTATTCAAGATTTTTAGGTGGCTTTAGTTTATTGTTGTTTTTTCTGGGTTTTATTGTTTATATTGAGGAAAGATTCATATGAATTGATTTCAAGTTTCTTTGTATTATTTCCAGCTTTACATTGTAAGAGATTCATTTGTGTAAACATTTCAATTACCTTTAACTTCCGAAAACAGTGCTAGTCTCACAAGTAAAGAATCTCTGGAAGAAAGTTAACATTCAGTCTTCTTATGCAGTAAAACAAAGTATGGCTTTAAAAAGGTACATGGGAAGTTTTTCAGCCTCCATTATCCTCTGTGAATAGGATGTAAGAATAAAATGTAAAGATATATTCTTGCCATTTTAGTGCCAATTTTTGGCAGTTTTGTGTTCACAGACCTGGAGAATCTTCAAGAATGTCATGTTAACTACGACAGCAGAATTAGGGGTTTTGTCTTTTATTTTTGATCTTCTTTGAAGATCTTTTTCCGTAGTATTTTTGAGTTAACATATATCTATCTGTCTGTCTGTCTATCTATCTATCTATCTATCTATCTATCTATCTATCTATCTATCTATCATATGTATATGTGTATGTGTATGTATATATGTGTGTGTGTATGTATATATCTGTGGGGGAATGAACCATAAACAGGAGGTAAATACATGTGTGTGTGTATTCATTACCAAGGATGAATGCTTTCAAGTTCCAACAGTACCAGAATTAAGCAGTACTTCACTGCCACTAAATAGACAGGAAACTGTGTCAACCTCAAGACAAACCATTTAAGCAAGAAAAGAGTTGGTTGTTTGGGTTTTTCCTTTTTAAAAAACGTTCTGAGTTTGCATATTAAAGAAAGTGCATGAAAGCTCAAGTATTTTGTAATGCAGATTGACATCATTGCAGATTTGAGACATAATTGTTTTTTTAATCTTAAGTGAGAGATGGATGGATTGAAGGGTGATAAAATCGATGACCAGAAGTTTGTTGAATGCAATGGAAAGATACATAGAACAGCATAGTTGGGGACCAGTGATGAAGACATTCTCTGTTTTTATTCTTTACTGATATAAACAGCGGAAAATTATACTAAATCTGCAAGAAACATTGTGGACGTAATTTAGAAGCAGGATAGGTGCTGGAGTTATACTTCTAAGTGTACAGATGGATAGGAAACGCTGCATCTTGAGAGTTCAGAAACCCTTAGGAAAATTGTTTATTTAGGTTAAATATAAACTGAACCTAAGTGTAACTTAGTGTAGACTTTGAGAAATCAGTGATGCAAGTTCTGGTCTATTGGCAGTGTCCCATCAGGGAGAGATAGGGACAAATTATTACAAAGCAGAAAATTCGTTATTACTATTTCAGGTAATCTGCAGTGGGTTGAAGTAAAAGTGTGAAGACTAAGGCTTTATACAGCTTTTATGGAAGGTCATTAGAGAGATGCTTACCTACAAGTTGAACTGTTCTCTACTGCAATGTCATATTTCTGAGTGTATTTCGTCTTTGACCATTGAACTATTCTAATGTTTAGAATAATATTGAGACTTGAAAGGAAAATTCTGCACCTGGGACACCTCCCAATTAATAAAAAATAGAATTAAATTGGTATTGGTTTGGGAGGGAAATCTAACCTGTATTTTGAGGACACTAGAAATTAAAAAAAGTAATTACAACTTTTTAGCACCTTGATTTTTGCATGCAGCTTCTGAGCAGTTACCTTAACTGTAATATCAAAGTCTCATCCTATTACTCAAATATTAACCATATGAACATGAATTAGACTGTAACATGTACAGTGAACCTTTCAGTTTAGTTGGATATGTGCTATTTGCAGTTTTTACATAATTGTCATAATTGTCACCTATGTGTTGCATAAAAACAAAGAGATTGAACTGAATCCAAAAATATTTTTCATGTTAACAATCAATATCAATATACAGTCTGAAAAACAATTTGAGTATGATTGTTATATTTGTTGCTGGACCTAGCTTAAAATTGAAAACACACAGTCACTGGCAGCTAGGGTAAATGTAAAAGCGTGTTTTCCTTTATATTTTTTTTTTATTTACCTGCTTAGAAATTAGCATTGCAAGAATGTATGTTATTTTGCTTTTTAAAAAAATTTATTTTGCTTTTTATAACATTAACCTGTATCATTTTCATTTTTTCAAACACTTGAAAAGCATTCATTAATCTCAAATTCTGAAAAGGAATCTGACGCTTTTAAGACTTAGAAAAATAGAACTGTAACATTTTAGGAAAGAAGGACAGGCAAAAAGTTAAGATGTGTTTTCCCAGAAGTTCTGTGGGCATTTTTGTTAGTCTAATATTCATAATGACTGGCAATTATGTGATTCTTTTTCTAAAATAGATTTAGATTCCCGTAAAGCAGTTAAGAATATCGTGGTAATATTTTAGTGTTAGGCTTTTGCATCAGATGTAGGAGAGACCAGCTCTGCATTCTGACCAGTCTAAGGGATTTTGCATCCAGTGTTCTCACTGTTCATGTGAATGTGTAGTGAGCAGGTGCATGAAGTGCTGAAGTCCTTACAAGAATTTGGTTTGCTTAAGTCGCAAATGGCAGAATAGATGTTAGATAGTGTATGGATTAGTATCTTTATTAAAGACAATTTTATTTGTTTAACAAGTTGCTTTTCGAAATGGGAATTGTGTGTTTCCTGTAAGGCAGTTCATCCATACTATGACAATTTAAGACCAAATCTGTATACCTCACACATTTTTGAAAATGATATGTTCTTTGTTCTGTCAAGTTTTTATTTTAAAGCTGAAGTCTTTCAGGAAGCTTAGAAGGTGTAAAACTAGCAGATGATGAAGTACAGCTGTGATGTTTAACTGTGTGAAGCTAGAAACAGGCTAAAATGTGTTAGATCAAGGTTTAAACAATTCTCAGAGATAGGCATGAGGAAAGATCTAAACCAACAATTTTTTCTTTAGGTAAAATGCATGTTGCTTTTTAACTTTTTCAACCTATATAAATACTTGATTATTCTCTGCAATTCCAGGGCAGCTGAAATTCTCTATTCCTTGGCTTTGGTACAGTCCAGTAGATCTGAGAAAATGAGTGTATTTCCTTCAGCAGAAAGCTATAAATTGCTGACAGAAGCTAGGAGGAACCTTGGACTCTTTCAGCATCATGATGCCATTACAGGAACAGCCAAAGATTGGGTTGTTGTGGATTATGGCACTAGGTAAGTTATTATAAATATATAAATTTAAATCTTAAATTCCATTTGCTTTTTTAGAGTAGAAGTGTCTGTTAACTGATTTCAGAGATACAGATTTGATACAGTTAACAAATCTCATATCTGCAAGTGTAGTGGTGCTGTACATGAGAAGTGGATTTGAATACCTGTGCTCTTCATTCATGAAGTACTTTTTAATCCTCTGAAGTAAGAATTTGATGTCCAAACAAAATTCTTGAGGTTTCAAAGAAGCTAGGTAAACACAATGCTGAGATTTCTTTAATACCACAGCTATTTTCTGCAGTAACTGTCATTTAAGAGAACATTTTATATTTGTCTGTCCTCAGCAATGATCAAGAGACATGCTAATTTAAGCATATATTCCTTGGAAAATCTCACACCCTCTGTAACCTGCCTTTTTCAATGTGGGAAATATTTTTCATGCTGACAATTTTCTACTTAATTTGTCTGATTTTGCTTGTTGCTGTTGTATCTGTTGTATCACAAAGTTTCCTAGGATTAGTATTTTGAAAAAGTACTTGCTGTTTTGAGGGTGTACCTTTCGTAGCATAACAGCTGGGGGAGATGTACCTTACTTTCAGTATACAAGACAGGAATATAATGAAATTCAGAATATTTCTGCATTTTTAAGTAAAGCCACCCATTGCACTTGCTGTTCTTCATTTCATATTATATTGATATTAAAATGATATTTATTTTTTTGTAACTTATATTTGTGAGTTAATATTTTTTAATTTTTATGTAGTCACATTGGATAAAAACAAGTGAAAGCTAAGACTTTACATGTTTTTTTAACAGGCTTTTCCATTCAATAATGAACTTGAAGAAAGTGATAGTTGACTCTGTTCATATTCTTATTCTAAAGGATAGCAGTGCTTATAATTATGATGCATCAGCTCCATTCCTGAAGATGGTGAGCTATCTTTCTTGATTTCTTCCAAAAATGAAATGTGAACTATGTCTTTTCCATACAGTTTGAGTGGCCTGGGAAAACTCAGAATTTCTAACTTTGCAGCTAATACCTTCTCAAAAATCTGCTACTTATCACTGTTTGTATTAATTGAAGATATTAGTGAAAATTCCAGCAGCTAATGCTGAAAAATCTCACACATCTAAAGGGACTTACTTTGTTCCACTTCGTGAATCAGTAAAACCAGTTTGAATTTTTCTCTGGGCGTATATTTGTTGGTGACTTACTTAAGTGATGTGCATATGTGAGTGAATATATAATCATATGCAGTGCTGTAATTTGACTTGTAATTTAAGAAATTTGGGAAGAAGAAAATTTCCATCCTGACCAGAAGCCTAAGCTGAATCTGGAAGACTAGATCTAGACAAGATCAATATTTCCTTAGCTGAAATGATTTGAAACAGGAAAGCGCTGATGATAAAGTCAGTAATGGATCCCCATGTACCATTTTGAGACCTGTTTTACAGTGAAGGGCACCTTGAAGAAACACACTTGCTAATATTGTTTCCTGTCAGAATTCTTACTTTCTTCACTTTCTGAATAAAAGCTCTCTGCTCTGATTACTAGGAAGTCTTAAGAAGTTTACCTAAGTCCACACACCTTGAATACAGAGAAAATGCGATGGTTTAATTTCTTTGGGCATAAACATAGCAGGATTAAGACAGTCTTTGTGAAATGATTGCCTCACACTTCCAACATAACAAACATGGCTTATATTCTGCTGGTTTATTTGTCCTAAAAGGGTCACACCTTGAATTACTCTTGCAGTCAGATGTATATATATAAAAAAAAAAAAATTGGTAAAATAGTTCTTTATGCTTTTTAGGACTTTGATACAAATATATATATTTATGTGCATGCTGCATGTGTGTGCTGTGAGGTTGTGTGCCACAAAGGTGTCATTTTTCTCCTGTGTGGAAAGACTACCAAAATGAAATTGCACCTTCGTAAAGTAAGATTATTTTAAAGTCAGTCATGGAATGACGTTTTCACTTCTGCTTTGAATTATGTTGGAGGATGTTGTGATGTTACATTTTACTAAACTTCCATTGTTTTTTATGAGTCTAGATTAATATCACTGCATTGTAGAAGTACTAATTGCAGTTTAAACTGTTTATTGTCTAAGAACATACTAAGTCAAACCTATTAAGACCACTGTGCAAGCAGAAGTTAAAATGAAGTTCATATTTCAATTAATCTATTATATCTGTAAAAAACAGAAAAAAATAAGGTGATTACAGAAGTAGATTGTGATATATCTGTATGATAAACAGTATCTGCAGCATATAGTAAATCTCGTATCTCTGCAGTATGTTGGATATCACAACAAAAGGTTTTTAATGTAGACTGCTAATGGGAGAATTTCAGGATATTTACAAAAAACCTTTGCAAACCTTGAGCAAATAGAAGTTTCAAAGGCACTTGTTTTGAAATACCATCCTGGTATTTTTGTGGCTGATGGAAGCTGGTGTCAAGAATTGTTCAGAGAAGGGCATTCAGAATTAATGCCAGGGGAGTTGAGAAAGACAAATGATGAAGGCTGTGATTGAAAATGGCTGTTGCTGGTGAGGGGTGAAGAAGGAAAAAACACATAGTGCTGTAGTCAGAGGAACAGAGTACAAGACTGCAGCAGTAGCATTCCAGGAGATAGTAGGCACAACCAGGGGAAAGTTTCTCTTCCTGAAGCCAGAAGAAAAGGAAGCTGGAAATAACACATGATGGAAGGATTCCAGAATGACACTGCTTGTGCTTTTTCTACTATTCTCAATTATTAGCTACATGCAAAAGCATCATGGTTTTCTCAGTTAATAACTGAATACTTTGTACTTCATCTGTTAAGTTTTATAGCCTCTACCTTAGTAAATAAATGAAAACTAGATCACTTGGAAGGCAATACACTAAAACACAGAAGAAACAGAGATTCCAGAATGATCCAATCAATATGCTGCAATCCAAATTGTAAAATTAAAACTGTGCAGCCACTGCACCATTATTGTATATTAGTCTTATTTCTTTGAGTGCAGAAAGAAAATTTTTATGTAACTGACAATGTTTGGATTTGAAAAACATGATTTTGAGGCTGTTTCGAGGAACTGATAACTTTACAGTTCAGGTCCAAAGTCTGTAGTTGTCTCCATTGCATGAACCAATAGGAATGCACTGTGCATCAGCAGCTTGGCTGTTCACTTATGTAAAAACTAATGCAACAGCGACAGCAATATCTTGTCTCCACCTTTTCTCAGTGAAGTGAGCCCTGGATCGTGTTATGTTTAAGAAAAGAGAGAAACCAGTGAAAAGTAAGAATTCATCGATATTGTGAAATAATTCTTCACATAGCTTCTATCACATAAAAATCATACCACACCTCAAATTATGTTTTTTAAAATTTTTCTCTATATACAATATAAGGTAGCAATGAGACCTGATAGGAGACCAGAGTGTGAATCCTTGTAATAAATACACAGGAATGTAGTGTTGCAAAGTAAGTTTATAGCAAGAGAAAGTGAATAAAAATATTATTATAAGTATTTGGAAAATCTGAACAAAGTTGGTGATTATGACCTTTTGTATATGAAAGTGAAAACATGGGAAAATACTAAAAAAAGTGTTTCTCAATGAATTGGTCAAGTGAGCCTCTTTTCTCAAACCTAAGTACTTAGTTTTATAAAGTTTTGTGGTTCATGATCTTGAGTAAAGTGCCACAATGAGCTTTGGTTTATGGTTTTGTTAACATGGTTTTGTACTTCACAAAGTTCATATTATAGGCAAACCTCATATATTATCTGTTTAAGTGAATTCAAAAGCAAATTCAAAAATGTTCTCTTGTAGGATGATGTTCAGGCTTCCCAAGACTCGTTGCCACGCAAGACAGTTATAAAGCTGACATTGCAACCAAGGTAAATAATTTACATACTACTTAATGTCTGAAATTGTTTTTAGTAATGTATATGTTTTCATTACCTAGTAAATAGATTTTTATGCTGTTTCCTTTTTGGTTTTTTTTCTAGCTTTCACTCAAAATTGAGCTAAAAAAAATTTAAAAGTTAGTCTGGGATATTTTGTTAATACTATTATGTCTAATTGACAGAGGACACAGCATGTTAAAACTACAGGTGTTTCTCACATACCACAGCTGAAGCAAATATTCTGCATCTGTGTGCTTTTACAGCATTGTAACACTGAGTAAATTATGCTTGAGAGAAGCAGTAGGAAATTCTAATTAAGCAGAATTGCAGGTGCCTCAATTAACACCGTGAGCAAAACCTTAAGTTATTATAAGGCCTAAAAATCGCAAGTTATAAATGCTGGGTGGTCTTTAAAATTCAAATAGAAGACAAGCTAATACACTGTTTTCTCTTAACTTTCCATTAGGAGGGCTTACTTCTTTATTTATATGTAGTTGTATTCAGTTGAAACTGACATCTTGCTATCCCCATGAACACTAAATATGCAACCTGAATTTGTTACAAGTTGACTAATTCAAATAAAGTGTATAAGACGTATGGTTATGAGAGCTTCTGTGTGTTTAAATCCAGTAATAGAAGGTTTGTGCATACAGAACAGAAGATTTAAGTTTCATTTAAAAAGCAGTGAATACTACTTTTTACTGATGGTAGTATTTAATTTCTCTAGTTCTAGCAAATGGCAAGCAAATAAAACTTACTACTTACCTAATTCACGAAGGTGTCAAACTATACAGCAGACGAACTGCTACTGTTAAAAAATTCTAATTAAATTCTTTGAAAAAGTGAGTAAAGTTCGATCCTTGTGAGCTTTCTGGGGAAGCTGTCTCTAGTCCTCTAACACCAAATGTACATAGTGTGTGTATATTTTGTTTTCATATAAACTTGCCTCCAGGGCATACTATTTTTTATAATGGGACTTTTAATCTCTTGTTGGAGTGCTAGATAGATGCTAATAGATTAACTTGTCCAAAATGGTCAAGAACTCAGGTGCCTAGATATTTAACTAAAATTATTTTAACTCTGTCAAAATATCCCCTCAGTTTCTTCAGTGGAAGAGGATTGTATGTATTATATATAAACACTTGACTGGAGGCAAGGTATAATGTAGATTTTCTTTGCTGTTTGAGGATAGCTTTATTGCTCTTGCTTTCCTTATCCACATTAGCTGTTGAAATTTTCCCTGTGCCCCTTATATCCGTTCCCTGATATGCCTTTTGTTTGCATCCACTGTTCTTCTTATCTCTCTGCATAGAATGGTGAGTAAGGTTTTCCCTTTTTGGGATTTATTAATTTCAGGCATTTGATTTTATTTTTTTCCACTCTTGCACATTAAATAGATATACATGTCATTAAAATTAATATTATGCTTGCAGCCTTTTACTGCTGTTCTCTAAACTGGTCTTAACTTGCTGCAAAGGTAACAGTGATAGAAAGTTGCCAATTTTACCTTGTCTGGTATTGTAAAGATACCATATAGTCATATTGATGTGATTCATGTTCCAGAGACTGCGTAATCAGAAATATGAGAGATAGAATTAAGGGGGAATGAGAGAGACTGGACAGGGAAAGATTGTAAGAGAATGCTGATATTGCTGACTGAAATCCTGTTTCTTTTTGTAATTACTCTCTTTTTGGAAACACTTCGAAAGTAATGTTTAAGTGTACACTATTTCATGTTTCCTTTGTTGTTAAAATTTTCATTTGAATATTGTTTGTTAAATTGTTTTTGCTTATAAAAATGAGCTTGGTCTTTGTAGACTTTTAGCTTTATCTCTGGTTGTACTCTGAATCTCTAACATTAGAGTAACCAACAGTATTACAATAACAATTGAGAAAAGTGGCACGTAAGCAGTATATTTTGCTTAAATCTCTTACGTGATTATTATGACTGTGCATCTGAGTTTTCTAGTAGCATTTCCTGTGAAATGTTAATTTCCATAGAATCTTAAACTCAACTTGATAAATTTATTATCAAGGATTAATGTGCTTAAGCTTCAGAGTTTGAGGCTTCCAAGAGAGAAACTGAATTTTCATTTAAAATTTTGAGGCGTCAAATCAGTGGATTGAAAGTACTGATTTTCATCAAAACTTATTTGATTATCTTCTGTTTATAATAGTCTTTATTGTTCATGTCTGTATAATGGAATCTCTGGATTTCTTTCTGTTAGGGTGTTGTAATATATCATTATGTGGAATAGAAATTAAGTCAGTGTAACTGGCAAGATGTTACTTTTCTTTAATTGACTAGCTTTTTGTATTTATGAATTTACATGTCAAGGTTTTTTAAAAATAACTGTATTGTAAATTGGTTATTCTTATAAAAGTTTGGTAGATATCACCTATAAGTTTAGAGGAACACTACTTTTAGAAACTCATAAGATAATGGCTCTTTAAATCTCATGAAATAATAATTTTCTTTCCTTTTTTTTTCTTTCCTCTCCCTCACCCTACTTTCTTATTTTACTGAGTCGATACTGTCAATTGCAAATACAACCTACTTTTCCATGAGAAAGTAGTTGATGGTGTGGTTTTGCCTCTTTCATCTAACTTTCCTTTTTGGTGTCTTTTATCACTGCTCATGAAAGTTGTAGTTAGTGAAAACAAATCTGACAGACTAATACAGGAGAGTACAACTTGATTAAAGGGCAAAAAACCTGAGGAAAATATCTATCTTTCAGTAGTTATTGTTCTAATATGAAGTATCTCTATACTGTAGTGTAGTTAAAAAGTATCTTTCAAGCTGCTTCTAGTTAGCTGCTGCTTGTGATATGTTTGGTATTGTATCTGCTCCCACCTGGGCATCTCTTCTCTGTAGTGCTCTATTGCCATCTTTTTATGAATCAGTTTTATTTATAAAGTAATATGCTAATTTCAGTGAAATAGATATGGAGAGTATTTGAAATCTTACTGTGATTCTGCCACCGTAGAACATCTAAGTGGTCTTATGATCAGGCTTTTGAATACAGAAATTATGGAATCTTTAATTACACTAAATCCCTTTTTGATAAATAAAGTTGCATGATTTTTAAAAAAATTGTTTCTTCCAGCTGAAGAACAAAGCTTTCACAAGATAATGTCCGACTAGATATGGAACTGCTTCTGTCTTGTTCTGAAATTTACAATTACTGCATGTATTGGAGACAAAGCCCATGAGTGAGTTGATAAATTGGATGCTGCAGCATACTTCTATGATGAGAGCCCAGTCCTTTGTTATAATAATTTGGTTTTTAGGAATAGTCTGCCAGAGGTAGTACTTCTCAAACCTCAAAAGATTTGCATTCCCTAGGCTTGGAGGGATGGGTGTGTTTGAACTTCTTGTCGTGCAGCTTGAGCTGTCAGCTGCAGGTGAAGGATATGTTGACAGTGTCCACAGTGTGTGTGCCAAGAATTTCTGTCTGCGTTGTTTCCTGGAGGCAGCAGTGCAGAGGATCATGATACATGACCATATAACTGAATTGACTGCCTGGACCTACTTGGATTTTCTAGTACTGTTTGGCACAACATGCTGAACCTAGGAGTGGAAAAAACTAACAGTATCAATCATGCTTTTTTCTTCCCCCTCTTTTATTTTTAACTTCTGAAGCTGCATATACCTGGCTGGGGAGTTTCAGTCTACTCTGAACTGGAGATACTATGATATTGAAGAATTTTTAAAAATCATTGATTTAGGATTGCTTGTAGTGCTAAACCAACAATACTTAAAATTTTGCCACAGATCACTTTTTTCGAGCTAATATTAGAGGAACGATATGACATCTTTCTTACCAGGCAGGTTTAATAGCTTAGCAGACACATTTTCCACTAGTTGAAATATTTAGGTTGCCTAGGGGATAAATTATGAGTAGAATGCACCATAATCAATTATTTCTTCAAAGATATGTCAAAACACCAAGCAGTTCAATGTTATCCACCTTATAAAAGAGGGTTTCCTTTTTCAAATAGAGGATACAAAATAATCTGTTCTATTATCCTCACTTTGGTATCTATGAGCAGGTTTTGGCATAAGGTTGTAATTAATAAAATTTTGTCCTAAGTTGTGCTTATCCCATTAGATCCAAAATTTATGATCTTTTTTGAAAGAGAAAATCCTGATTTACCTTTAAGATTTTTCAAGTTGCTTATTTTTTTAAAAATTCACTTGGCAAGTGTAGCCGCTGCTTTCTCAACACAGCATTATGATGTAGAAATTAGAGCCATGTTATTAAGTTTGATAAGTCATAAAGAACAATGTACAAAGGTCAAAAATGAGAGTGTGTTTATTACTGTATTTGGCTGCATGATAACAGCAAGGATAACTTGTCTGAGAAGGAAATTTGTTGATGTGATGTGCCGTAACTGTAGCATGGTAGTGGATTGGTGTAATGTTTTAATACTCTCATTTGGCAACTTTAACTTTGGTGGTGGGTTTTGTTTTAACTGGTGTTGGTACAATCAATTTAAACAGTTGTGCAATGTAGTTACAAGGAGAGGACCCTCTGAACAGCATTTGACATTTTAATGATACACGTTTTAACTACTTTTCATACTTGCATGATTTCTGAGGCATATGTATTCCTAGTTATATTCTGAGACAGCTGGAAAAAAAAGGTGGTTGAAAGAAGAGTATTTTCAGTTGTCAATGAGGTGAAAAAGGAAAGTTTAAAGAAAACAAGAAACAATACAGTAACATTTAAGGCGAGTTCAGACATACTTGTGGCGATTCATACATTGCTAATATGCACACTTGCTCCCTAGAGGAAAAAAACCTGTCAGAACAGCAAACAAACAAACAAACTCCAACCAAACCAATAGTTTTATTTTTATATTGGATGTAATAGTGGTAGCAATAGGCACAACCTTTTTATGTTTCTGTTAAAGTGAAACCTCTTTATTAATATCTTAAAGGGAGGTGGACAGGATGAATAGCCATTCAGTCAAGCCTTAACACTCTTCTTCTGTTAAGAAACAACTCTCCATTAAGCATTTCTATTAGGCACACAGTAGTGCAAGTAGTTAAAAAGTTAGAAAATGCTTTAAAAATTATATATGAAGAACCTGCACTTTTCCAATTCCCTGGCTGCTTATGTTGAATACAGTCTAATGATGTTTTAAAAATTACTTTAAATTGTTAAACTTCGTGTTCAGCTGTCTGATCAATTTACTAGATTTTGGGTGACCTGTAACTTCTATGAACGTATTCTGTTTGTAGTAAACCGAAAGTCATTTTGCATAAATTGCATGGGTATTTAAAAAGTATTCTCCTTGATTTTCATGATGGAAGAGCTATTGCAAGGACAATGGAATGCTTGGCTGACATAGGATGACTCAGATGTCTGAATCTGGAAGCATCAGTTAATATGAACTTGAAGTAAATATTTCAGTAAAAATCATTTTGGTAAAAGTTGCAAAACTTCAAAATTAACAAAATCAAAAGTATGATACATTAATTCTGTTTTATAGGTAGAAGTTAGCTGTGCAACTATCTTTATGACCAAAGCTAGCAAACTCTCCATTGACAATGTCTAATGGGACAGGATATGAGGGGTATAGAAGAGTTGACAACACCTTGGTCTCTTTATTCTCATTCTTTCTGTACAGTCACAACAGTTTTTCAGAGGTTTCCATGTTTACTGTGCAAGTTTCCTACTTTTCATGTTAACTATACTGCATGCAGGCTTATCTTTGGACTGACTCCAGGCACTGGTAGTTGATATTTCTCTAAAAGTTTATCTGTGAACTCTAAAAACAAAAGAACAAATAAGCTAAGAGATCAATGCCTATTTTGATATAAGGGATAGCTCTTTAACGCTGAACTGCGGCACATTTTTTGAGTTATTATAACTTTTCATTATGAAGAAGAAAAATGCAGCTTTAATTTGAAATTAATTGTTCTCCAGAACTTTCTGTGGAATTGATCTTTATTTTTCAATTTTGGTTTTTGAATGTTATGCTTCTGAATCCAAGTTTTTCTAAAATATCAAACTTTTAATCATTACTTTTTCAGTGCATAAAAATTCTTATAAATCAAACTTTTTTCAGGTTTTGGTCTGTCTTATCGCTGATGACAGTCTCTTCTAAATATTTTTGTTTCTTGATTGTCTTTGAAATTGCCATTGCAAAACTCAGCCAATAAATAAGTTGATAGTTTGTAGCATTTGTAGAATCTTTGCAGTTTTTGAAAACTTCACAAATTTAGGATTTTCATTTCAATGCACAGAATATAAAAATTTTTTATTGGGGTTTGCAGTGCCAGTGCAGTCAGACTGTGAAGGTGCTTGATGCTTCAGTTGCTATAAAAAATTATAACATTAAAATCAAAAACACTGCAATTAGATCTTACAAGTAATTTCTGGTTTCCTCTGAGAACACTGTAATGGAAGTGTCATATGAAACAGAGAAGAAATAGATTAACTAAATATACTCTAAGGAAGGCAAAAACCCCTGACTTTGTTTTTCAAAAAACAAAATATGATTGTTATGAAGGAATATGTTAGTGTAAACTGAATATAGCTGAAAGATCTGCATTGTATGCATGTACTTTCTGAAGCAGTTTTGGAAGAAGAGTATACACATTTCCGATATACTAGTATATTTGTGTATTATTTCTTTTTTTTTCCAGGCACTGGCCCCTTCAGCCTTTTTACTGGAGTTGCTTTGAGGCTATATTGTAGGTAGTCCAAGGCTCTCAAGGCACAGACTGAAGTAATATGGAATACTTAAAAGTCTTTCTGCTCTTCTGAACCAGATTTTTTTTCCCTTCTAAATGCAGATTTATAAAGCCTGCACTACAAGAGGAACAAGGAAAGGATTTTAGTGAATGTACTTCCTGATCCTGAAAAAGTCAGGGGGCTTCAAGCCCATCTTGGACTTCAGAACATCTCCAAACTTTGTGGTAAAAGAAAAATTTAAAATAGTGCCTTTGGACTTAATCCTTTTATCCTTAATTGGAGAGTAATTATGTGATCCAGATTAGGATATGTGTGCCACTACAATCCATCTAAATCATAGGAAGTATGTGTATCTGGCATATGTAGTAGGTACATAACATTCAAAAGTCTTGTCTTAGGTTGATGTTTATTTTTTTTGTGTTCTCAAAATTAATAGTTCTTGCTGTGCCGTTGTCTGTGTTTATTGTGAATGCTGTTTCCTTAAGGGTGTTTCATGGTTTGTTCTTGAGAAAGCCACACAAAGGTCCTGTTTTCTGTGAGAGTAGAGGGGTGGGTTACGTGCCTATTGTCTGCCTAATTCTGTGCCTTTTGCCTGAGCAATGGATATTATAAAGATTTATCTGTAGAGTTATAAAAAGAAAATTCATAGGAGTGCATATGTGTGAGTCCTTTCACCTTTATTAATGAGTCTAAAGTTCAGCGTTAGGTTTGTCATTAGGAAGGGTAATCCTGGAGTGATTCTGAAATAACAAGTTAAAATAATGGAACTTTTTTTCTAAGCACAGAATCATTGGTTTTACTTGTTTGCATGCTTATCAGAACTGTCAGCCATTACGCTTTTAGAAAGAATATGTCTAAGAATATTTGTTCACTACACATTTAAGTTCCTCAAATGCTGTTATAATCATAGCATAATTCTGTCTTAGCTGCAGCTCTACTGAATTCTTGTGAATTTACTTATTTATTGATAGTATCCCTTTTTTATTTCTTGATGTCACCAATTTTATATTATAATGAAATGCTGATCTGTGGATATTAGATTCTGTTTCCACCTTTTTATACCTTATGAAAGCAAGACAAATTCATATTGTGTGCTTGTAGTTTCAGGCTGAGATTACTTTCCTACTAATTCTTCTGCAGGATATTTTCCATGAACTGCAAAAGATGTCTTCTTTGAGAAAATGAAAAAAAATCTTAGTATTTCTTGATATATTATGATATTTGATGATATATATTCAAGATTGATATTCTACTCTAAAATAAACAGTTTAATTGGATTCTAATTTGCTGCTTAGATTTAAATTGACTTTTTTAAAGTTGTTACAGTATTGATAAATTTATAAGAAGTTTACCCATATGTGATGCAGAGGAACATGTTAGCATTATTTATTTTATCCAGTTAGGTAAGCTGATATATCTCCTTATACTTTATCCAGTCAATGAAGAGATCCTTGGAAAGGCATTGGAATCTTCTTTTGGGAAGAGCATGATTTGCTCTGACTAACTAGAGAACTGTTTGCTTAACTTGATTTTTGTTAAACTTCCTATATTCCTATTGCCCCAAATTTCGTGTTTACATCTGGCACTATATCTGAGAGTGTAACTCTTTAATTGTAACTTTTTCCTCACAAAAAGCTTCTCTACCTAAGTAAATGTCTAGGATTGTATAGTTATGAACACTAAAGGTTTCAGCATCTACTGTGTCTCAAAGGAGGTATACATTAAAAGTGTAGCAATTATTAAACAATATATGTTTTAATATAATTAGGTGTGTTGATTCAGTTTACAGCACTGTTTCACTGTAGTTTCATTTGATGCTTTGACCTTAACTTTGTATAGCTTTTTGTAACAATTCATTCACA